CTGTGTTGCTATGTAACGCTAGCGGAGGTAACCGCTGTTACTACCGTAACGTCGCCGCTGTTGACTCGCGTTGCCTAGCGACCGCGATATCCCTCGGTGACGTCACCGCGGAGGGGAGTGGCGGGGCGGGAACTCGCCTGTTACCGTAGTGACGCGAGCGTTACGTTACCGCCACGTTCCGCTGGGGAGGTAAAGGTCAACATGTCACACTACATTATTTTGGCACAAATGTTTGTAGAGTAAATACTGACCATTCATTCATCCATCCACTCTCTCTTTTATTTCCTCTTTTCTTGTTTCTTACATTGCCTTTCCTTTTCTTCTCTTCTTTCCTTCAGCCTTCCAGACCTGTTTAAGTGACATGAACGACCCGTACCTTCCAAGCCACAAGGAGAAACGGAGTTTGTATTACTAGTAAAATGTTGAATTGTAACACTTCCAAAGTTGACACTCGTGGAACTGACGAGTAAAATGTTCTGAACAAGTATGTCGTATAGGTAACTTCTGTTCATCTATGAGTATACAGATTTCTTAAAAATGTTATAAGAGACAAGAAATGGTTTCCCTTTACTGGCAAATTATTTTAAACAAGTTCCTATTTGCCTAGAGGAGTCAGGATAGTTCAGTCAGTGTAGCGATGAGCTATGGGCAGGCCGTCCAAGGGTTCGATTCCTGATAGGGGCAAGTTTTTTTCTCTTCTCCACAGCATCCAGACCGGCTCTGGAGCCCACGTACCGTTCTGTCCAGTGGTACCGGTGGTTCTTTCCCTTGGAGTAAGGTGGCTGGGGCATGAAAGTGACCTCTCACCTCCATCTGTTTCCGGGGTCAAGATTGGTGGAACTATGACTTCATGTCCCATTATGTCTTCATGGCATAACACTTAATTAATTAAGCACAGGAACAATTTTACCTACTATTTTACCTTCCTGGCCAATCACAGGTGGCCAATAAATTGAGTAGAAGGGGAAGGGGCTGATGTAATTTCCTTGGACTTAATAATGATTCAGACTCAGGTACTGCAATATTGTAAACAACTCTCGAAAATCAGTTCTGCGGTTCATTTTTAGAGGCCTGTATTAGGACTTTTTCTGTTTTCTGTTCTCCTCTTGCCCTCTGCGGCCTGAACCCTGTGTTCTTCATATGAGTATGTAACCCATCCACTACCCAGCTTGACACCCTTCAACCCTGAAGGTGGGGGAAACAGGTTTCTTGAAAACATTGATAACCGTCTATGGGACTGGGTGTTGTCTTAACCCAGGCGATACACAGTCTCCATTTTCATGTTGAAAAACTCAGATTCATTTTTGCAAGATGTATGTAAGAAAAACACTGAAATGAAAATAGACTGTATTTACAGCAAGCCCATGCTAATCTGGTTACAGTTAATCCAGATTGAAATATGAAAAATTATGTTCGCTGTCAAGTACAGACTTTAAAAGATGCATGGAGTTTAGGAGCAAGAGGGATTAGAGCAAGAGGACTTTCAGACTGTGTTGAGGACTACTGGAGAGACTGAAACCATACAAGAAAAAACTGAAGACTGGTTTAAGCTGGATGAAGGAGACCTTGGCTTTCAACTTCTGACATAGGAAGAAATTGCTACAGTGATATTTTTTATATATTTTTATCAGCATTACCTATAGTATTAAATTTTCCATTTGTATGTTTTCTGAGTTTTTTATTGCCATTTTAGGGCTAACGTTTGCTTCATTAAAGCGGATTATCGGTTAACACACATGACATCTCCTCCCAGTTAATCCTGATTAGCGAGAATGTACTGTATTATTATCCTTTCATGTTGCTCTGCCAAGCATTTGATCACCATTTGATGAACTGCGTAACATAATGCAGTATGTAATGTTCTCAGATTTGAAGAGCACGCATGACGGATACAATTGCAAAATGAGGTGGGAAACAACCAGAAAGAAAGGAATTGAGTCGCCAGTGTATGCTAAGTTGGTTGACCCCCCTAGCAACAGTTATCCATTTGAAAATCACAGCGGAGGTGTTGAAATATGCAGAATGAATTGGAAGAGCCAGACTGCATTGACATCAACAGATATGGAAAAAGTTATCACAAGGTGAGTTTAATTGTCCATCCCATTCCATTCTACAGAGAACACTGCTAGCAACATATCTTACGTTGTGTGACATCACCACAGATGTGACATGTTCCTCTGTTGCGTGTGTATGGGCCATTACCTAGCAACGAGTCTACATGCTATACTATACTTTACCCAAATCAGCGGCATTGCAGTGAACTGAATACCTTAGCTCACAAAGGTCATCCGCTATAGCGAATTCTTTAGAATGTTTGTGGTTTGCACCAGTAACTGTAATTCCGCACTTCACCTGCTTTCCTACAGAAGTGAAACACAATTATAAATTATATGATCCATGGTGCCATCCCATATCGTTCAGTTGACCATGCTAAAGATGTCTACTGAAGTGTAAGGTTTAATGCAGTTTGCCAATGAATTTTCAATTTTACTTCAGCTGCAGAGCCATCTGAATCTTCTGTTCTCTATGGATTTTTTTATTCATTAATAACGTAACTCTTCAGTCTCATCAGTTATCCATTAGTTGCCCTAAGCTCTTTCTTTTGGTTTTCATCAAAATCGTTGACTTAAAAAAAAAAAAGCATGCTTCAGTAGGTGCTAGCATCCATTGACCTGGGTTGCCAAAATCAAAACTTCGGCATTTCGTGCTTCCTTTGGTTTGACTTTTCATGCTTCCTTTTCCTATTTTCATTAGCCCAATTTCTTTTCAAGTCAGATTGAGATTTTAACAGTTTCGAAGATGATGACTAAGATAGTAACTCTGCAGCCACTGATCTCTGTAACACATCATACAAAACAGTAAAAGTACTGAAGTACTGATCAAGGAGAACTAGTACCAAGATAGCTGACTGGCAGTGGATAGATGCAGCCTGCACTTATACACTGTACCTTTGCATCTGTATTATGAACAAGACACCATGCTTGTCAGAGGAGAATGTCTGAATATAAAAACTCTGTTACAAACAGTGGGGAGAGATGGTTAAACATTGTGGGGTACTTAACAGACAAAAATGGGTTATAAGGAACAGGAGTGAACAGTGCAGACAGAACCTTTGCTAAAAAAAGACCCTTCACACTGCAATCCCTAACATTGTTTTTGTGTTACCATCTGGAAGATAGCAGTAGCAAGCCGAAGTTGTGTACTGGTTGATGAATCACCTTGGACCTACTGTTACATGCAGTACATGTTAGAGCATATCATTCAACAGACATTACCAACTCTATGCATATACTCTACTGAGTACATTGTTTATTCTTATAACAGAAAATATGATTTCAATGTGTTTACTGAATTGCTCTAAAGCAATTGATTCTAATAACTGCTGTATGTAAATCAGTAGCAATGGCTCATCCATCATCCTCTGTACTTATCTTTTTTGTTTCTTCTGCTTTTAGGAGAGTGCCGCCAAGTGACAGTGGTAAGAACAGAATTGCAGATGTAACTGGGGCTTACAGTGACAAAAACAAAATTGCCATGGATACTGAGAATGGCAGGAACAGAATTGCAACTGGGACTGATAGTGCCAAGTCCAGAATTGTCAAAGGTATTGACAGTTGCGAGAATAAAGTTGCTGATAATACAGCAAATAAAGAAAATGAAACGAGTCTCACAAACAGTGAGGCAATTAAGATGGAAACGGAAAATGAAGCCACTTGTACTAAGAGAGACAAGGATTCCAGCAGCAGACGTGAGAAGAAGAAGGACCTTCCAGAAGATTTTAGTAACAGTGAGGAAAACGGTGAAGATGAGTGTCAAGAACAAAAGGAGAAAGTTCCATCTGTTTCCGTTTCTGATGATGAAATCCAGATGAAGAATTTTGAAATTACTGCTTCTGAAACAAAAAATATCGAAGGACAGCTGAAGAAATTGGCAATCAGTGTACCAGAAGAACTATGTGAACGCAGTCCCATGGGAAATGAGAAGTGTCATATAAACAGTTACAGCTCAGATAAAGTAAGCTCTCCAATTTACTTTTCTGCTTTTTAAGTTTTATGTTTTTCAGTATGCAAATCGTTCGTGGTGAAATGATATATTCAATTACATGCTGAAGTTGCAGTTAGCTTTCCATTTCCAGCAATTCTGCACATCGTCAAGGCTTACCAGTTTTTTTAACTGTTTTGTGCCAGGATATTCCCACCGCTGTGCTAGTCTGTCATGATTTTAAAGGGTGGTAGGAAATAAAACCGCCTTTTATTCACGTATAATTTGGTTTGAAGTACCAAAATGTGGCAGAAGTTCATTTTCACTGGCATTGTCACACCATAAATATCATCATACAAGTGTCATTGAGAATGAAATGTTTGAAAATCATCAGTTTCTGGAATTAGAGTCTCAGAGAGAAATACTTTATTTTACAGCCAATACCTGTTCTTTCAGGTGTAGATTTCTTCTTGTACTTCTTGGATCTATCTCCTTTAATTGTTTGCTTATTTACCTGCATTTATACATTTATTTACTGCTGTTTCAGCTAAAGTGTGAAGTGGTCTTTTCCACCATTACTAAACATGAGGTTACTGTTTTGTCTTGTGTCAATAGTCCTGAATACAGATCCAGAGCAATTTTGTATGATGAACTAGTATTTGGGAGGTGTCCAGTTAAAATATTTGCTTTGGTACAAGCTGACTGAAATATTCCATGGTTTTGCATAGTCCCTGCAGGATTAATTTCAGAATCATTGACAGAAGATTGATACGAGTGTCGTATCATAATATTTTAACAGAAAATGAATTAAGAGTTTTCCCTACTTACCAAGACACAGAAGTAATATAGGCTGGCTATGAAGCAGAAGTGAAAGAAAAGAAGTTGTAATTTTCACTCTTATTGTAGAGGGAAGTGTCACATTTCAATTTGGAAATTAAATGAAGAATGAGTTTGTTAGAAGGAAATGTCTTCATGATTAGAAGCATCTTGAAAAAGTATCTTGAAGAAATCTGATGTCCCTCAGTGTATGAGCCAGAAACAGTTAATGTAACTGCTGTAAATGACAAGGTTCTAGTGTGGTATGTCCGGATCTTTGCTGCTAGAATGTGCTGAGAGGCATGATAATGTAATGAAACCTAACACGTCTAAATGTATAATGCAAACAGAACAAATTTAAAACGACTTTTGTCCATGAGCATAGCAAAATCATGGGGACTGTAAACTTTTCAACTTTTCCATTTATATTTCCTTGATCCATCTTGATGGTAGAAACATGAGTTGGTGTCAGTTGAGCAGCTCAACAGAGTGCAGGAAGCTCTAAGATGATTGCACTGTATTTGAGTCGACATTTCCTATAAAGTGATAAATTATGTGGATGTTTTACTGTGTATACAATTTCTGAATCCAGATCCTGATTCACATTATTTAATGTTAATTTACTTTTGTCTGTAGGTATTTATGTAATGCCATCTTTCCATTTATTTGACAGGTGTCATCAAAAGTCCTGTGTAATGGAGGAGGTATTGTAGCTGAGGCACCCGCATTGCCAAACCACGTGCAAAATACATGCCTCTCTGCAAGTGTGCAGGGAAACATAATTGTGAGTTTCATACCTAAGAGTAACACTTTCTGAAGTCACATAGTTGAAAAAATGGTGGTAATAGTGTAAAAGATGTGAATTGTATTTACCTGTATATTATTAAATCTGATGGTGTCATTTTTAAATTCCACCCTGCTCTTCATCCTGGTCTTTTTCATATTCTACTCAAGTAGATTTGCTAAATAATTACAGATTTTACTTTTTCTTGTTCATGTAATTACCATAGTAGAGTCCTGTAGATAAGATAGTGCTGCAGTCCCCACACTTTGACCACCTGTCTGTTTCTGCCACAGCTCCATCTTTGAAGTTATCTGTTCAGTTACTCCTGGTGTATGTAGGATTAGAAAATTACACAATGAACACAGTGGAATGATTGAGAACGAAAGAGATGAATATGTTGTAATATGTCATACAAGAGGATACAAGATGTGTGTACAACATTTTAGATGGAAAACCTGAAAGGAAGAGACCACTTAGGAGATCTAGGCATAGGTGATAGAACAATATAAGAATATATTTTTCAGAACTAGCAATGTATGTACAATTTGAAGGGAGAATTGTGGTGTATATCATATAAAATCTGGAACATGATTATTATTTTCACATAACACTGGGAGAGAAATTTTATTTCAGGACTCATCAGAATCTGACAATTCTACATTGCAGCTTCCATCACAAGAATTTCCATTTGGTGAAGCATCATCATCTCCCCCAGATTCATTTAAGTGTGGGTTGGAGCCTCCATGCTTTAAAGGGGGTGATCGTGATACATGCTTGAATGATTGCTGCAGTAAACCGAAAGGAGAACATACACAAAACATGTGAGTTGCAAAATCTACAAATAATACAATATTAAACACCCTCAGACGTACCTATATGTCATGGGTGCAGCCAGGATTTATTTAAGGCTGTGGGCAGAAGATTTGCTTCCAGACTCAGGTGTAAGTCATTCCAGAATATTTTTACACATCAGAGCATATCATTCAACAGACATTACCAACTCTATGCATATACTCTACTGAGTACAGTGTTTATTCTTATAACAGAAAATCTTATTTCAATCTGTTTAATGAATTGCTATAAAGCAATTGATTCTAATAACTGCTGTATGTAAATCGGTAGCAAAGGCTCTTCCAACTTCCTCTGTACTTATCCTTTTTGTTTCTTCTGCTTTTAGGACAGTGCCGCCAAGTGACGATGGCAAGAACAGAATTGCAGATGTAACTTGGGCTGTCACCTACAGTGACAAGAACAAAATTGCCATGGGTACTGACAATGGCAGGAACAGAATTTCTACTGGGACTGATAGTGCCAAGTCCAGAATTGTTGAAGGTATTGACAGTGGCAAGAATGAAGTTGCTGATGACATAGAAAATAAAGAAAATGAAATGAGTCTCACAAACAGTAAAGGAATTAAGAAGGAAACTGGACGTAAAGCCACTGCTACTAAAAGAGAGAAAGATTCCAGCAACAGACATGATAAGAAAGGCCTTCCAGAAGATTATAGTAACAGTGAAGAAAACTGTGAAGATGAGTGTCAAGAACAAAAAGGGAAAGTTCCATCTGTTTCCGTTTCTGATGATGAAATTCAGCTGAAGAATTTTGAAATTACTGCTTCTGAAACAAAAAATATCGAAGGACAGCTGAAGAAATTGGCAATCAGTGTACCAGAAGAACTATGTGAACGCAGTCCCATGGGAAATGAGAAACGCCACATAAACAATTACAGCCCATATGCTGTAAGTTCTCCTATTTGTTTTTCTCCTTTTTTAAGTTTTATAAATTTTAATGTTCAAATTGTTCATGATGAAATGCTGTACTCAATTACATGCTGAAGTTACAGTTAGATTTCCATTTCCAGCAATTCTACACACTTTGGTATAATGAACTAGTATTTTGGAGGTCTAATTAAAATATTTGATTTGGTACCAGCTGACTGACATATTCCATGGTTTTGCATAGGCCCTGCAGGCTAATTTCAGACCCGTGATAGAAAACTGATAGTATTTTGACAGAGTAGAAATTAACAATTTTCACTACTTACCATGACACAGAAGTATTGTAGGCTGCCTATGAGGCAGAAGATGATCACACTGTATATTTGAGTTGACATTTCCTATAAAGTGATAAATTATGTGGATGTTTTACTGTGTATACAATTTCTGAATCCAGATCCTGATTCACATTATTTAATGTTAATTTACTTTTGTCTGTAGGTATTTATGTAATGCCATCTTTCCATTTATTTGACAGGTGTCATCAAAAGTCCTGTGTAATGGAGGAGGTATTGTAGCTGAGGCACCCGCATTGCCAAACCACGTGCAAAATACATGCCTCTCTGCAAGTGTGCAGGGAAACATAATTGTGAGTTTCATACCTAAGAGTAACACTTTCTGAAGTCACATAGTTGAAAAAATGGTGGTAATAGTGTAAAAGATGTGAATTGTATTTACGTGTATATTATTAAATCTGATGGTGTTATTTTTAAATTCCACCCTGCTCTTCATCCTGGTCTTTTTCATATTCTACTCAAGTAGATTTGCTAAATAATTACAGATTTTACTTTTTCTTGTTCATGTAATTACCATAATAGAGTCTTGTAGATAAGATAGTGCTGCAGTCACCACACTTTGACCACCTGTCTGTTTCTGCCACAGCTCCATCTTTGAAGTTTTCTGTTCAGTTACTCCTGGTGTATGTTCTCCATATATGTAGCTTTTAGAAAAATAATCTCCATATTTGAAACGATGCTATAAAATGTGCCTCCTTATTTGGTATATTTAGTTCATCCTACAGTTTCTCTATCTTTCCTTTTCCTTTTCTTTTCCTCCACAGTTTGAAACAGTGCTATGCCTGATTACACTGTGAGAGGCTGTTGTGTTGCATATTGTTTTGGAAAGTTCACAAGTATAAGTTTCAGATTGAAAACTTCAAGTAGGATAAGAAAATTACAAAATTGACATAATGGAATGATTAACTCAAAAAGGATTAGATGAATAGGACATGGTATATCATACGTTGAGGAAGAGAAGTATGTGCAGCATTTTAGATGGTAAACCTGAAGGGAAGATACCACTTAGGAGAACTTAAGAGTTGACGATGGAATAATATTAAAGTACAATTTTCAAAACTAGGCAGTGAGTATAGTGCTTAAAGGGAGAACTCTGGTGAATATCATTTTCAATTTCTAGAACAGGATATTGCTTTTTTTATGTTATTATCGCATGAGAAAACTGAAAGAGAAGTTTCATTTCAGGACTCGTCAGAATCTGACATTCTCTCGTTGCTTCCATCACCAGAATATCCATTTGGTGAAACATCATCATCTCCCTTAGATCCAGTTTTATATGGGGAACCATCTCCCTCAAGCCAACTGCCATGTTTGCAGCAGGATGATCTTGATCGGTGGTTAAATAACTGTTTCACTACTCTGAATGAAGAAAACATACGAAACACGTGAGTTGCTGAATCTACAGATAATACAATAGTAAACACACCCAGACCATATAGTATGCCATGAGAACAGCCAGGATTTGTTTAAGGTGATGGGGGTAGAAGATTTGCCTACAGACTCAGGTGTAAGTTATTCAAGAATATTGTTACATTATCTGAGACTTGTGGGCCTCCCCGTATTGAAATGTGTGTGGTGCAACAGTTAAAATGTAATTTTAATTTTTGTATCAGTATAATTCCTTCTTATGTCAGATTCGATTTTTCCCCAAAATCATGAAGGAGGTGGATTCATATCCCTCCTCCCTGCAAGGAAAAATATAGATAAAGTTGTGTATATGGTTAATACTGAAGATATTTTTTAATAGTTATTACAATCAGTTTCCTTACTGTTTTTATAAGCAGATAAGTGAGTAGAGTTTGTTGGTGATAGGATGTCATACATTGTTATTGCCCCATCAAAGATTGAAACTGATGATATGAAAGACAGCTTCTTTGATGAACTACAACATGTGTTTGATAAATTTCCTAAATACCATATGAAAGTCTTGTTAGGAGATTTCAGTGCCGAAGTATGTAGAAAGTCATCTCCAAACCAACAATTGGTAGCGAGATTTTACATGAAATTAATAATAATAATGGAGTTAGAGTATTATACTTCACCACATCCAAAAATATAATTGTCAAAAGTACCATGTTCTCACACCATAACATTTATAAATTTACTTGGACATTTCCTGATGGACAGATGTACAGTCAGATTGACCACATTTTGATGGATTGGAGATGGCATTCAGCTGTACTTGGTGCCTGATCTTTCAGGAGAGTGGTCTATGATGGTGACCACCATCTGGTGGTGGAAGAAGTTAAGTAGAGACTGGCAGTGGGTAAACAACGAAAAATTTTGATATGGATAGATTCAGTCTCAAAAAATAAAAAGCTGAATGAGATAGAGGTTACAGGTTTAAACCTCGAATAGGTTTGTGGATTTGGAAAACTTTGATGATGATGTGGATATTAATGGAGCTTTGGATGTGATAATTGTATGCCTTTCCATAAGGAGAAGTCCAGGTATATTTGTGAACTTTTGTTGTGTGAGAACATTGTACTCTTGAGAACTTATGAACACTTTTCAGTTATATTATGTGAAGGGGTAGAGAATATTACAAAACTAAATGAATTCAATTTGAGATCCTTTTGAATTTCTACACTTTCTTGAAAAATTTGATTTGTTTCATTCTGGTCCATCACACTAACAATATTATAAAAGATAAAACAACTCCATCAAGTGTGACTGTTGAAGTTTTTAGTACTTCAGTTCTTAATACCCTTAAAAACAGCACAGCACACCATGAACAAACACAGGACGTTATCAAAGAACCTCCTTCTCAAGAAAGACAGGCGGCACAAGTTCGGCCCCCATCAAGAAAGGAGTTGAGAGAAGGGACACGAACCAATTCGGTTTATAAATTTTAACTTAAATAACAAAAGTTTTAAAAAACTTTAATATAACAAGACAACCGCTGTAGTTGTGAAAACTTTGGATTTTGTATACATTGTGCATTACAAACATTGTATGTGTATTGTGACATGTTGAGCTATGGATGACGCCCCCCCCCGCCCCCCGCCAGCCGTGATGCGCCGAGCGAAGCCGAAGTGAGCTGAGTCCCCGCAACCTGGTAGCTATTCAACGCGAGTCAACAGCGATGACGTCACCAAGGGTATTTTAACATTCAGAACACCCATTGTAATAGTGGTTTCCAAAAAGTGTCAGTGTCCCTCTGATGATGGTCTATAGGGACGGAAACATGTAAGGGTGTTAAGAATTAAACTAGTAAAAACTTCCACAGTCACACTGGACAGAGTTGTTTTATCTTTTATAATTTCTTGAAAAAGTTTAAAAAATTATGTGAGATGCATTTTACCTTTGTTGGCTGAGAAGAAGTTAGGCTAATCACAACACCATAGCAAATTCCACACGGCTGCCTGTGTAATATTGCAAAGTTTTACATTAAAAAGATAGGAGGGAACAGTAGTGTACCTTTTTGACTGAGAATGGAAACAAATCCAGTTTTTGAAACATTATGTTCTTTAGAATACTGGACAATGGGCAAAGTCTAAAAACTCATTAATCCCAAAGAACGCTGTAATTCTCACTAATCTTTATTTTCATTTCCAGGGACACTGATGGCCCACTGGGGTTCCCAGGGATAACAGATTTATGTAGCTTTCAACCACTAGACTCGCGCTACATAAATAACTGCTCTGAACAAAATGAACTGACCCAAGATCATAATCCCATCATTTTATCTCAGTCTCCTCCAACATACAGATGCACAGCATCTATTCCAAGCATGTCTTCGCCCTCTTCTGGGAGTCTTCACTCATCTGAGTGTTCTACATTAAGTTCACCAGTTTCAAGTCCTGGTGATTCACTTACAAGTAAGTCCGATTTGGATACTGAAACTGAACTGCTGAAGACAGAATTAATCCTGCAAGAAGGAAGTTCTAGCCAGAGTGATGCTTCATTCTGGTCTGCTGAACTTATAAATAACAACAATGTAAATAATTTGCTGGCCCCCAGTCAGCTATGTAATCCTGCATTTTATTCATTGACATATCCAGTACAACCAACCATCAGTTCACAAACATCACAGCCACCGTTCACTATGCATCGAGCACAGCAGTCCATCAGTGTGCAAGCACATTCAGTGAACAGTGTACAATGTGCACCCCAAAATATTCATTTGTCACCATCACCAAATGTCCAAACTGTAGTAATTCAGAATAATGTTCAGCCTTTCACATACACAGTTCCTCAACAACCTAATATCCAACGGCTTCCTATTGTTCCCAATCTTGTTGCTGCTTCAGGTCGTGAACGAATTTCTGAGAAGTTGAACAAAGCAGCAAAAGACTGTGCTTTGTTAACACTGGCAAAACTAACAGATGAGGAGCTGTCTGAGGGGGATGAGCATGGTGACACGTAAGTTTTTCTCTCATCTCTCCGACTAATCTGCTGTTTGTGCTTATTATCCCCTTAATCAGGGTGGCAGCTGTCTATTAACTTCTTCCAGGCTGTTGACTATTTTCACATGTGTAGAAAAAATTGAAATAAATTCTAAGATCTTTTTGAAACAATCATACTGGTTGGTAGAAGCATTCTGAGTGATACCATAAAAGTACCGTCTCTCTACAAAACATCAGAGAGCAGAAAATAAAAGATCTTAGCGTGAAGCGGAAGACATGACATCCATTACACACAAGAGTTCAAACAATGTCTTATGCCACGCTCCCCATGTAATGAGTTAAGCATATTTTTATAATGTAAAAAAGGAATTTGTAAGACAGTCTCATAGTGAGACCACCGGAACAACATTAAAGCATTATTCATTTACTGATTCTTAAGTCAGGAGTCTTAACGGAAGGCATACAGATTAGGCTTAGTCTTGATACAAATTTTAAAAGTTAAGCATTCTTGGGGATCCGTTTAAAATATTGCCAAATTTTGGAACGTCATAATGGTAGCTACGTTTCTGAATCGTTGTGTTTTTATGCAGTATTTCACTCGTCTTTATACAACACGCTTTTTGTTTAAACTCTGTTTGGATCTAAGTTATTAAATAGAATTGTATTCTGATCTGACTCCTGCAAGCCGGAATTCTGGAGTCAAAGAAGTGTTGCAGAGGTGTCCATTACTATGCATCAGCTGTTTAAAAACACGTTTCTGCAGCAAAAAGTAATCAATCCATGACAAAGCTGTATGAAGAAAGCCCACAATACATGACATGAAGACCCCATATTGAAAGGACTGTATCTAAGGCCTTGTGCACGTACATAAGGACCTATTCCCTATTCAAAGTGGGCGCTTAATTACAAATATTAAACATACGCTTTACAGAGCTCTGATTAGGTCAGTAATGACTTAAACCCATCCCACCTGAGAGTATGAGGCAGATACTCACCTCTTGAAACTGCAGTGCCTGTAGAACTGAGTATTCTGCGCTATTAGAAACCTTGATAGGTGTACACCGGTCCGCAAATTGCGTGTGGCTTTCAGAATTTGTTATGTGTATGACTACATAACTAAATTATTCAGGAAGCAGGCAGAAGTAATCCTAAACTACCAAAATCCAGTTTTACATGGTATTGAACAAGGACAAGCCATGCATAAGAAATACAAGAGGCTTAAACTGGGCGACAGCGAAGCCTACGATTGTTCAGCTGACTAGCTCAGTTTGTGGTTAAATTAGTTAAGGCATAACCTGCTGCACAAGAGTGCAGTGACAAATGGCGCATAGAGTCCATAACGACTCCGTGATAGTGCAGATATGTTTGTGCTGAAAGTATGGTGCAACAAATATAGCATCTACATAGACTGACCCCTCCTCATCGAAGAAAAAGCCCAATTCGAAACAAATGCATGTCTGGGAGAGAATAAAAATTTTGGTCATAGATCTTCAGGAGACTGAAGCCAGGAATGACTGTGCTGGCGAGGGCCATCAGCAGTTTAACCGACTGACCATATTGGGAGCCTTGGAACTTGGAAACATTAAGGAGAATCTCCATAATTGGAGACCATGGCCAAGCACCGAGTATGTGAACATTTAACACCCTGGAAAGACTGAAATGTGCTGTTGTTATTGGTAGATTGTGAAGAAGAATAATACTTCTGCAATTATCTATATAGTTAAGAATAACAGGTGTCCAATAAATTAAGTTATCACTGTGAACTTTGTGTATAGTCACTAAACTGTAACAATACCATGCTTGTAAGATTTGAGGCTTTCACGGCGGTGACTATGAAGAAAGCAGTCTTCTGGGATTTTGCACCGTGTATATGTGGTGTTANCTTATTGTTGTGGTATTTCTCAGAATTAAAAATTTATGTGATAATACTATGTCTGTAGGACTAAACATGTCTAACCAAAACACTTTACTGTTCAGGAGAACTGTTTCATTCACAACAGTGGAAGGGATAAATTTCAAAACTGCTTGCAGTAATGATGTATGCAGTGAAGGACGTGAAGAGATATTTCATTTTTGTGCATCTTGATTTTTAATTGAGTCTTAATTCTTTTTCAGGCAGTTGATGATTCTCATTTATAATCATCCAGAGAAGCTGGAATATATCTTTGCCATGGTCAATAGATTAAAAAACATTCCAGGAGCCCTCGAAGCTAGAAATTCCCAGAATCAGTCGGCATTACTTCTGGCCTGCTTGGGACTACCTCATATGCCTTTTGTGGCTCGTTTTATAGCAGAGGCGGTGTTTGAAAAGGCTGTATCGAAGAATGAGGTGTGTGTTTGTAACTGAAAAGTGGAGTTAATAGTATGTGTAATTACAGAAGTTAGGGTCTGTACATTTCTTTAGCTTTATTTTAGGATATTTGTCACTTGGCTGGTGTACTTTATTAGTCAGTGAAGTACTTAAAGATATTACATGCTTTTTCACTTTCCATTTATGAAATAAATGAAAGGAGATACTGTTAAGTCTTCCTGTAACAGTGGCAGAAGAAGGAAACTAATATTTCATGTAACATTTATAACAATTTAGAAACATGATTAATGAAGCCTGATGTGCAGATTATGTTTATAGAGGCATGGAGTGGGGACAAAGTTTGATTATATTAGTTGAAATTAAAGAACGAAAACAGTCATGTTAAAATGTTGTATATCCTTAGTATTTCAAATTGCAATTCACAGGTGTATGGAAACGGAAACACACTCTTACACCTCTTGTGTGCAAAAGGTGATTCTCATGTGGACATATTGGCCGAGCTTCTCAGTATGAGGGACTTGAACAACCTTCCATGCTTTGATGTTAATCAGTACAACTACAGAGAAGGTAGGCATATGTTATCATCTTGCAATGTAAATGTTATATTCTGTGAAACTGAACTGATGTTAGAACAGGGCTTCTATAACGTTAAACCTAATAATTAAGAGTAGATTAGGGGCTATGCTACAAGCCGGAAGGTTGCAGGTTCAAGTCCCGTTGAAGTCACTGAATTTTTTTCAATTGACCTAATCCTTCCAGCTGCACTATGGCCCTGGGGTTCACTCAGCCTCTAACAGAAATGAGTACCAGGAATTAATTAAATTTTCCCGGGGAGTAAAGTGCGGCCATCGCGTAAGGCTGGCAACCTTGCCGCCATTTTTGAGCAGATTGTCTAGATAATGTGGCACCCTCAACGTCTCACAACCCTATGGGCCTTCACGGCCTGGTACAGGGATAGCTTTACTTTACTTTAATTTTTTACTTTACCTTGTTTCCTAAGATTATGTATGATGATATTCACATGCTTGATTCCAGCTTTAAAGCCAAAATACATGTACAGTGCACTAGTGATGTGCAGCATGCAAATATTGACAAGTACAAAAATTCTTTCTGATATGACAAAGTGATATGTCAGTAAAATTTTTTTCTGTGCTATAAAGTATGAATATGGTATTTATTACAGGAACCCCACTGCATGTGGCAGTAAAAACGCACTCCAGAAAAATTAATTGCTCTCGTACAATTGCTTTTTTATTAAGCCAAGGAGCAGATGTACTTGCACAGGTATGTATGTTCATTTCTCCTATTTAGTAATTAGTTTTTTGCAGTTTAAGAGGCTTCTTATTACATATTCTGTGCTTATAGGTCTGCCATCCACTCTTCTGGCAGAACATGGGATTGAAGGTGTTAGAGACCAAGTCCTGAAGGGAATATTTTAATCTAAGAGATAGGAAGCCGTAGGATAATTTGAAAGAATTCATAATGAGGAACCTCACAATTTGTATTCGTCACCTCTTATTGCGAGGGTGATTTAAATCAAGGATGAGATAAGGGACATGAATAAAGCTGGGTGAGACTAGAAATGCATACAACATTTTGGTTGGAAATCTCTATGGAAGAGACTTGTTATGAGATCCTGTTTTAGTTGAGTGGATAATTTTAAAATATATTTCAGGGAACAGAATATGAAAATGTTAGCTGGATTGGACTATCACACAGTAGGGTTTCTCTGGTATTTTATTGAACATAAAAGCTGGTAATTTCTTCACCAGCTTAATAATTATAAACTTGATGATGACATTACAGTTATTCCCCTCGGCTACATAGGAGGTGCAAGGAAGTTGATTTCTGCTTGTTCATGCTGTAGTTTACTGTCAATATAAGAAAGGAACTCCTATTGTTTACAGGAACGATCTGGTGGTCTTACTGCACTGCATATGGCTATAAAAGAATCCTGTGACCCTCTGCTGGTGCAGATCCTCCTGCAAGCAGCAGAGAGAAGGAACATTAATCTTGTAAATAAGGGTGACTATCCAGGTGACACAGCACTTCACTATGTTGCCCTAAGAAACGACGTTGCATTGATTCAACAAGTCAAAGTTGTTCAGCTGCTGGTTCGGTATGGAGCAGTGAGCAACCGTTGTGGTAGCCAGGGCAGAACACCCCTTGCTCTTGTTTCAGCTGAAAGAAAGAGTGTAAGAGTCATTCATGTTTACATTATTGGTATAATACCTTTGTGCACTTTTAAAGGCCCTGTGCTGACCAGTGTGCAGATAATATGCCATAATTCTTAGTTGAAAGTGTGGAGAAAAGAAGTGTTTATTAGTGGTCTTCATCGATTGAAGTGGTATGTAGTATGAGCTAGGATGAGAAACTGCATAAATAAAGGATGGCAGAAGAAGCGGTTGTGGCCTACTTCAAGATACTGTCCCAGAGGGACTGAGGAAGGCCTGTCATGTGGTGTAGCTTAGATTTTAATTTTAGGTATCTCATGAACACTGCATGAATGCTTGTCGTTTGTTTTACCATGTTATTGTTATATACACAAATTTAATTAAGGGAGCCCAGATTAGTATATATTATTACACTGTGATTTTGGTCGCTGTTGAACAAATTGGGTTTCTGCATAAGAGGAATTCTAAATTTTGACATTCAGGCTAATAGTGTATGTTATACATATATACAGATTTTTAATCAGTTTTGCATTGGGACTTCCTACAAAAATTGAAGACAAACCTGTACATTTGAAAGGCAGTAGGATTGCCACTTTGCTTGAAGGCAAAGAGTTAATTTGTTTATATACCATTATCTGTTCAATCCTGTGAATAGAGTTTGAGACAAAACTTATGGAACTTGATGCAATGAAAATTTGTTTGTGCAGTTGTTAGAAAATTGCCATTTGAATCTAAACTGAAGGCTCTTCTTTCCTATGGTAGTTATGTGAAACATACTTGAGTTGTGTTGGAGTGAAAATACGCTTTTCTAGGCTTTTTAGATAACTTTAAGTTGAAATTCTGTTTGAAATGAAATGAAGTTTAAGCTTGTTATACTAGGTAAAGAGTATATGCCCAGCCTTGGTGAAGTGTGACAAGACCTTGAATGGATGAAGAAGAGGTGAGCTGCACTGCTACAATCTGTCATCTCTTATATGTCCCCTTCCAGTTAGCCCTCCAATAATCACGTATGTTGAGTGAAGTGCAGCACTTGAAGGTCATCCAAGTAGTCACATAGTTCTGTGACATCCTAATGTAATGTTTGCAAATGAGGTTCTTGTCTGGTCCCAATTCAGGAAGTTGTCCTTTCAAGTGACAATGTCCTGTAAGTAGTCCTGTCACCCACCATAACTGTTTTTTGTTTAGTTTTATTAGTTCCTTAGTTCTTCTGGTAGAGGTGCCTTGTAGGAAACCCTTTTCATATTTTGAGTCCTGTTAAGGACTCCCAGTATTTTTTATGGTCTCTGTCCAGTTCCTAATAGCCTTCTGAGCAATACCTGCAGAGGTGCAACATGCTAGATTAGGTCATACAAAAAGACGTTCAGATCCCAATTTTGCCAATTGATTGGCTGTTTAATTACATTCAGTACCCTTGTGCCTCAACATGCATGTCAGCTGAACTAGTTTTTGGTTCACCTGGTAATTGTCAGGTGCTTCAATTGCAACCTGGCTGTCTGATAGAATATAAATATTTCTGTTTCTGTAGCCCCTCTCTAGATACTCCACTGTGCATGGCTTGATGGCATGTACTTCTGTCTGTACTACTATGGTGTATTTTTCAAGGCTGAAGCTAAGATTCTTCCTTGTACCATAAGTATACATACCAGCCCCAGTGCCTTTATTTGTCATGATACCATCTGTTTACCAGACTAGTTCCCTTTCCTATTAGGCTGAAACCCCATCTTTCCATTCGCTTCTGTCAGGAAAGCTGACCATGTATGGTTTGTAATGGTATCATTCTGTTAGTTATAGTCTTTTTGATTGGTTCTTCCTTCATGCCCCAAGACTTGCAGGCATGCCCATACCATTGGATTTGGGCTTCCCTTGTTCACTGCAACAGTCTGTAGATCATGCAAGTACGGTGAAAGGATTCTGAGGAGGAACTCAATTGTTGCTCTATGAGCTGTCCTCAATGCTGCAGTAGTACCCAAGCAGGCCAGCCTTTGAAATTTTCTGAATTTGGTTCTGCTGATTGTAAATTTTACTCTAAGTCATCACACATTGGCAGCATAGGCAATTATCGATCTTACTGTGACGTTATGTATGTATCCAGTTTAACACCTTTGGTGTCAGTCCCTAAGCTTTTTCAAACATGCCTCTTCAGATTCAAGGGACTTTGTATGCCATGTTCATTACCTTATCTAGCTGCTTCTTACAAGTCTTGTATAGCCCCTTGTCTAACATTAGCCCATGGTACTTAACCTCAGTGAATTTTTTCCAAAGAAACTTGGTTCCTGAAGTCCACTCATGTTTCTATTCCTGGTGAAAGGTTTTATTACCATCATATTAGGGTTAATAGAAAAAATTATTTCTTTCACTACTGCTGAACTATGCCCAGAGCTGTTTGTATCACATCTAACACAGAGGGAGTTCTATGTTCATCTTGAAATATCATCTTCATATCCAGTCACCACAGTTGAGTTCCCATAAAAGTTCATCTGCAACCAAGCTGCACAACAGAGATAATCACTCACCCATCTGCATATATCCCCTGGCTGAGTGGACCTGCTCAGGGTCTTTCTTGACAGCGTGGTTATGTATCCCGTAGTAAGAGCTAGAAGCACTGCAGTTCTTGGTAGGAAGCCAGATTGAAGGTGGAAGACCTCATATTTACTGCCCTTTTCAGTAGAAAGTAGTTTGTATTACATCTCCATTAATTAAAATTGTATCTGACTGATTCTAAAAAGTTATATCCAGTCATCACAGGATAGCAATGGCATTTCACAGTAAAGATCGGCATTTGTTGAAGCAGTTTGATTTTGTGATATACAAAAAATTATTGCAAAGACTGCTACCAGTGTTATTCAGTAGTGTTTACTTGTTGATAAAATATATGAATATACTAGATTTTGCAAAAATTAATTTGAATTCTGAGATGTTAAGCATTCTAGATAGAGAAGCAACTTGGCATAGAGTATAGGTTCTCATTTAAATCCTCATAGCAATGAAAGTAATAATTTGCCTGCATGTAAATTTTCATTGCAGTAGATTTTTGGTGATTACATGTTTCTGTTTTCTTCTAGGTAATCCAAAGAATCATTCATAGACGGTGAGAAACTCTGGACGTCGGACAGACACTCAACTTCATGATCCAGTGAATATGGCTCTGTAATGTGAGCCATCCTGTAAATAAGCTACAAATTGTGTATTGCTGCATCCACATTTGAGAAGTGACATTCATTTATATAGTAGTTTCCACAATACAGAGGAGTAGTTCTCTTCATGCTTAATTCCATTGCATGAAATGCATCTTTCAATGGGTTTTCAGCCCCAAAAAGGTAGAAAACGTCTTCCTGAGATTTTGTAATCTTCAGGCACCTTTTATATTTAAAAAGAAGGTCTGCTGTATTCACAGCTTCCATTTTAAAAATGTGTGAATATGTGGCATAGTAACTGACAGAAGGGCATAAACCACAACAGACATAACCTCTTATGAGTAACTGGCCTGAGTGGACAGTGTTCCTATGTAGGGGAGAACATCATGTTACCTGACATGGAGGCAAGAATGTGACATTGTGTGCCATGGGACAAGTAGCATACATGTCCACAGATCAGAACATCCTAGCCTGCTGTTATATAATGTGTACAGTATTAATTGTTCAGCAGGTTGTTTTTGCAGTTAATTTTCTATGACATAAACTGCATGATATCACCGTTGATTGAACAATTCTGAAAAAGGGTTGTGTTCCCAAAACAGCAGTCTTCATCNTTGACAAGACTGGTTTATTTTAATCTTATTCTGAACAAATTCTTAAGTTAGTAATGACTTTTGGCTTACATAAAAACAAATGTTTCCGTTTCTTTTGAGTTTGGAATTGAACTGTTAATGTAATGTTAAGTTATGCATATTTGAATGCAGTTTTTCTTCAGAGAATATTGAGTCTAGGGGCCGCTTCACTTAAAACTTTTTATATTTTTGACAAGAGTTTAATTAGCATATTCAGAAGACATGACTGATGATTGTAAAGATTTCTGTTTGCCATTTGTTAGACATTCTGGTAATTCAGTTACAATTATGAGAGGTGTTCTAAAGAAAATATATCCAAAGCCTGTCGCTATTAGTGGATAACTCTAAAGGTATTCCTGTAACTTTTATTTTGCATGATTCACTATCAGTTTCTATTTGATATATCCCAGAAAATGTTTGGTTCAGTGGTGTATAGCACTCGTTGCACTTTGAAGTATGGGGACATCCCACATAGCACGCACTGCAAATTCCTGCTCCTCATTTTCGCTAGCCAATCAGCGCTCTGCAAATTGTTGCTCCTCAAATGCAAGTTTCGCTCCGCCCACTGAGCATTGTATAAAAGGCGGAGCACAAGCTCGCAAGTCATCAGTTCCACAACAGTCTACAAGCAGTCTACAAGCAGTCTACAAACAGCACACTTCGTCGCCAGCGCTCGGTCTTCAGAGGCATCGGCAACTCGCTGCGCCAGGCACAACTGCCTCGGCTGTCTGGCGGTCACACCCGACTCGCTGGGCAACTCGGCCGCCTCGATTTGCTGGCGGTTATGCCCGACTCACTGGGCAACTGGCATAGCTACCGCCTCCCCACTCCTGCGACCGCGCTCCACAAGCAAATGTTCTCCAGCAACATAGCAACCTCCAGCAACGGCCGCAGTGCGGCCAGTCAACTGACTCAGCCGCCTCAACACACCACAACCAACATCCTCTTTCTACCAGCGCGCGCCGTGCTACTTCACCGGCCAAACATCCCAGCAGCCAACGGTCCTTTTCAGGGCCTACAAACTTTTCCAAAGGAGTGCGTTGTCATTGGAGTAATGACAAAACCCCACAGAAGCTTCTCCAGTTTATGCAACAGATTTTGTATGTAGTGCTCAGAAGCACCTCAGAACATGGCAGTGCCATATAAAATAATTTGTTATGACTTTCATGATACAATGACGATATATGTTGTCCATTAGGGAACACAAATCAGATTTTTTAAGTCACCATTGAAGGCGTTAAGTAACTACAAATTAACCTAAAAATATAACAGGATCTTATATTGGTTAATTCTTATGCAGTTCATAATATTATATTTCAGCATCCTGTTGCATTGGGGCACCATTTTTGAAACTAAAATATTCCATCTATAATGCAATAAGGTCACCTTTCTTAAAAGAACAATACATGAATTTTACAACATGTAGCAGTACACACACTACCTAGAAAGATATTTAAGCGAGAGCAACTATACTGGGATCAGCACAAGAAAAAACAGCACTAAAATATACACAACAGAAGTGAACAACAAAATAAAAAAGGAACACTGAAATAGCCATCAAAAAGATAGGATGGAAACATCTTATGAGGAAACTTAACAACAGAAACAAGGATGTGCCTAAGAGAACTCTGTCTGTACCATGCCAGTAGCAGTGGTTTGAATATTTTTTGTGAAAGGTGGAATGCAGTATTGGGCTTAATTTTTTTATATTTTATAAGGTGTCATCATCTGAAAAATAAAAGTATCAGGGTGAAAGAATTCATGATGTAAGGGTGTTCTCATTTTTACTTAACGATAGCTTTACACTCTGAATGCAGAAGTGAATGACATGTCATAAATGTCCCATACATAAAGTGGCTGATGCTTTGAGCTCAGAAATTGGAAGTTAAGTGGGCTGGAAGAACTTTGTTTCACTAAAATGTCTTTAAGATAGTGCTGGTGTGGTGACTGGCACATAAAGTAGCACCAGGGTGCTGCCCTGGACCACTCTGGCTTGGCTAAAGCCATGCTTTATGGCAGTAGAAGCCAGATATATTGTTTTAATCCATGGACATATGTTTTTAACTTTTATGAATGTGCAAAAACAGTTGGTACCTCATGCAAAATACAAATTGTGCTGTGTGTACTACATTCGTGTTAAATTGAAGTACTTGGGACAGTACTAGAATGTGCATTCCTACTTTCCATTGCATGATTTTATAATTATTTTGTGTACGTTTAAGATGTGAAAGTTGTATATATTAATTTTTTACAATAGGTTTTATTACAGATCCATAACTGTCAGAATTTCATATGTTAGATGAAACCATGTTTTTTCTTATCATGATCTTTTGAATTTAAAGTTTTCTTCTTTTTCTTTGATGGATGAGGCTCTCTGGTCTGTTCCCATTCAGAATTTATTCTGAAGTTAGGAATCTTCTAGAGAGTTGGTGATCAGCCTGTCACAAGGCCACTACCTACACAGGACAAGACACACACACAAACAAAAAAGAACCAGCAGCATCCATGCCTTGAGTAAAATTTGAAACCACAATCCTGATGTTGAAGTGGGCAAAGACTTTTCTTGCTTTAGACGATGCTGCCAGTGTGAAAGGCTCTAAAATTTTCTTAATTACAGTTATATTTAACCAAAAAGACATCTTAGTAACGTAACCTGGTTACCTAGACAGTTGACAAGTGTTATAGTCCACATGTTCTGTATAAAATCATTTGCTTTTATAATTGGGGTAGGCTCTTGTTTTCTATTTTTATTACATTCCTTAAACTGTGTGATGATAATTGCGTATATGTAACATTGAATGAGAGCAGTTGGGATGGTTATAACTATAACAAGAATGAAGGAGGTAGTAGTTGTGTGTGGTTTCCAATTACAAGCCAGATATGATACCATTCAGCACGTGAGATCAATGAATTTTTTTTCTTTCTTTGCTATAAATGTGTGTGGTATTATTATTATTATTATTGTTATTATTTGTTCCTTATTCCATTACATCTATAGTAGGCTAAAGCCTTAGATAAAGAATTGTGTCAATTTATCTTGCTAATACTATCAAGCAGTTGTCAAAAAGACTTATAATACAGTGGAACCTCGCTTAATTAGCATAATTCGTTCCAGAATCTTACTCATAATGCGAAACCCTCATTAAGAAAACAATTTTTCCCATATAAATTAATGTAAAATACGATAATGCGTTCCATGCCGAAAAAATACTAAAAAAATTTTATGTATAACGTTTATTCAAAGAAAATTTATATATACATTGTTAAGGAGCATGAATTATCTTCATCTTTTTTTCTATGCGGAATGAACCAACCTGGAATGCGAATTTGATTTGCAGAAAACAGAAAACAAAATGAAATAATTAGTTTATTATTTATGATACATATCTAATTCTTTTTTACTAGAAAGCTGTCTAGAGATATTTGTTTTTGCTGATGCTTCAAAATTTGGTGATAATGCGACACAGCATTATCATTAAATAAATTTGTAGTGAGCATAGCCACTGCCTTATTAGGGTGATGCTTCTCAGTGTACGATGCAACAGTTTGCCATGTTTTCAGCATTTCTCTTATTGCACCAGAAGATTGTAGCTTTGCTGTTACCTCCTCCGCCTCCTCTGACAAATTCTCCTCGACAACTTCTTGCTGTGAAACACAATGCAACTCCATAGGCTCTTCAGTGGTCAGCTCTTGGCTGTACTCTTCCACAAGCTCATCGATATCATTGTTATCCACCTTCAACTCCATGATCTTGGCCAAAGATACAATCTTGTTGACTACAGGCTCCACAGGTACTATCTCAACCCCCTCAAAGTCACATTTGACAATGCTCTCCGGCCAAAGTTTCTTCCAAGCAGAAGTGAGGGTTCTCTTGGTAACCCCTTCCCATGCCTTCTTGATCATCTTGAGGCAGGCAACGATGTGGAAGTGATATTTCCAAAACTCTCTGAAAGTGAGATTGGTCCCTTTAATCACGTCAAAATAACGATCGAAGAGTGCTTTAGTGTACAGCTTCTTAAAGTTAGAAATAACCTGATGGTCCACAGGCTGGAGTAACGGAGTGGTGTTGGGAGGTAGAAACTGGATCATGATGAATTTGAATTCTTCAAGGAGGTCATCTTGTAGGTCTGGAGGACGGGCAGGAGCGTTGTCCATAACAAGCAAGACATGGAATGGCATATTCATCTCAAACAAATATTTTTTCACAGAAGGACCAAACACTTCATTGATCCAATCAGTAAAAAGGTCACGTGTCACCCAAGCCTTGTTGTTGGACCTCCACATCACATTTAGCCTGCTCTCCTGGACTTTACACTTCTTGAAGGCTCGTGGAGTTTCTGAATGGTAAACAAGCAGCGGCTTAATTTTCAAATCGCCGCTTGCATTGGCACAAAATAGCAGTGTGAGATGGTCTTTCATTGGCTTATGGCCAGGCAATGCACTATCCTCTGCTGTTATATAGGTTTGCTTCGGCTTCTTTTTCCAGAAGAGACCTGTCTCATCAAAATTAGAACCCTGTTGCGGCAGGTAACCCTCAGAATCTACGAGCTTCTTGAAGTCACTGATGAAGTTCTCTGCTGCCTTTGTGTCAGAGCTTGCTGCTTCACCATGCCTTACAAGGCTGTGGATGCTGGTTCTTCTCTTAAACTTCTCGAACCACCCACGGCTTCCCTTAAATGCTTCTTCTTCGGCCGTTGATGATCCTGGCATCTTCTTAACCAGGTCGGAGAAAATCACTTTCGCCTTCTCACAAATGATGTTCTCGTTAATAGTGTTGCCTTGCAATTGCTTTTCGTTTATCCATATGAGGAGCAACCTTTCAACATCATAGAGAATACGTAACCGTTGTGTAGATATTCTTGTCACTCCCTTTGAAGCATCTATCTCCTTAATCTTGTC